CTGAAGAGCAATCATATCACTCTGGAGATTAAGGGGCACCTGGTGCAGGCTTTGTCTTTGCCATCACTCGCTATGCATCAAAGAGCTGGACGATGAGTAGGCATAATAGAAGGAGAATTGATGCCTTTGAACTGTGGTGCTGGATAAAGGTATGGAATATACCATGGGTTGCTAAGAAAATGAACAGGTTCATCATAAAGAGGGTTAAACCAGGTTGTTCCTTGGAGGCAAGGATTTTGAAACTTCATTTGACATACTTTTTTTTCTTTTATTGGGAAAAACATATTGGCAGTAAAAGGAGGTGAGGTTTGGGGGCAGAAGGGTGAGGATGGGCAGGGATGCAGTTGCAGAGCTGCAGTTTGGTCGGTGGGGGGAGTAGGTGAAGGAAATGATGAGGGTCCAGTGGGGACCAGATGCTACAGAGGAATGACAAGCATTTTCCAATAGTAATTAAACCAACTGTCTTATTGATTTGGGAATTGGATGCCGACTCTCTGGCTTCTTCATGCTGAACAGGGGCGCAGATGTAAAGGGGGGAAGGGAGGACGCTTTATCACCTTACTGGTAGTCTTGGGTTAAAGCTGCTTGCCTTCTTGCTCTGTTAGAAGATATTTTCCTGTCATTTGCTCCCCTCTGGACTGCAAAGTGTTTTCCCAGGTGTGTCCAGTGGGGATGGCTGGTTGAACCCAGAGGCTCCATCCTCCTTTGCTTCCTTAGCTGTCAGTTGAATTTCCTTTTTGTCACTGACACTGGGTTCAGGGTCAATTCTGGAGTAAAACTCAATGTTAAGGTTACCTATAGGAAAGGGAGCAAACCTAGAGAGAACAAACTTGTGAGTTACAAATAGAAAGGCTTTGAGGGTGTTGCTTTCAGGTTTACTGGAGGAGAGGGTGGCAGAAGGTGGCCTAGGTAACATTCTCTGGATACCCTAGGCATTCTTTTTTTTTCCCCTTCCCCACCCAGGGGTCAGATGGCACAATCTGGGGACTGAGGGCAGCCTGCTCCGGGCAGAGGGCCCTGATGGCTCACCCAGAGCCAGGGGCCAAGGGCAGCCCATCCCGAGCAGGGCAACACCACCCAGGAGCTGGCTGGTATACTCCCTCTCCAATTGCCCCTACCCCAGTCTGGTCCTCTCGCCTGACTGAGGACTATGTGGTCAGGGATAGTGTCTCCAATTCCAGCACTGCCACTTTACCCCCCCCCATAAGTGGTCATACTACATTTTGAAGTAGGTGTCACTGCCCTCCCCCTTTATATATGAAAAAGGGAACCTGAGAATTGTGAACAGACTCCCCACAGGTCTAACCATCTTTTGGCAGAAGCATTCAACAGAACAAAATATGTGGTACATTTAGGATGTTGGACTTCTTGTGCATGCTGCCACTGTTAAGGTCATCAGACTCACAGTGACTTTCAGCAATCCATTCCATAGGTAATAGTCTTCTTTGGCCTGTCCAAGGAAACCCAAACCTGCAGATGGCAGGCAAGTTGGTCTTAAGTTGAAGGTAATGAGAGCTTCTGTTTTGTTTTAAACTTTTGTTTAGTAATCTGGTGGCATAATCTATAGAAAGTTGTGTTGCTAACTCAAAAGTGATGCCTCCCTGGTAGCTTAATTCTGCTGTATACTCCTTGGGAGAAGAATAAGCAAACTCCTTCAGTACAATTTACAGTCTCTGAAAACCCCCAGGAGTATCATTTTCCATATTTAATTTCTGTACTTAATTATCCAGCATCAAAATGAAATTTATAGTTTGAATTCTGTGATTACAGATAAAACTTAGATGTGCAGATAAAATTTAATTTGTTCACAGTATCCATCCACCTCACAGGATGTTCCATATAAAGCTGTCCCTAATCTGATTATGTTAATATAATATCGGAACTAGGGACAACCACCTAACAAAACAGTAAGTGCATTGAAATATATAAAAATAAAAAAATTATAAATACTTTAAAGTTCTACTTGCAGTTTCAGGGATGATACAGCATTTCCATGAATTCTAAATTCCATAATTAACATTTTATACTCATTTCTTTCCTTACCTCTAAGTGACTCTGTAAATTTAATGAAAATATCTTTCATAACAAACTTGTTCTAAGGAGAGAGTTTTTTGAAATTTTTATTTTATACTGGTTTACTCACGAAAGTTTGCATACGTTGTTTTCACACCAGATCTTTCCCATTCCCTTTACCCATCCCTCCCTTTACACATCAGGCCTGCCTTTAATTGTTTTTCATGAAACATTCTTTTAGTTAGTATAACCCTGGTATGTCCACTTGCTGTACAGAGGTAACTAATGGTTGCTGTGAAGCCAAACACGTGACATATATGAGTCAAATGTGAGAATGGTTACCCATCATGCACAGTGTTTGATGGAGTTCCCCGATTAAAACAAGCTTGGAAGGAGGAGTGGCATCCACTTTCATAATAGCTTGCCTCTGGAAACCTCTGAACCTGGAGAAAGGACGAAAGTTCTACAGGTGTCTAGGTCTTCCATTCATAGGGTCGCTATGAGTGGCCTACAACTTGACAACAACCCATCCTTACCACTCTGCTCTTACCCTCCCCCCTTAGATCCTCATACATATTTTATTAGTTCTTTTTCTATCTCTACACATGAAGAAATACTCAAAATCACTGGGAATATTTTTTAAGGTCACATTGTTTTTGTTAGATGTCATTGAGTTAAGCACAAGTCATAGTGATTCTATGAACAGCAGGTTTGAACTCTGTCCTATCCTGTGTCATCCTCATCATCTCTAACATATTTGAGTCCATTTCAACAGTCACTGTGGAAATCTCTCTCACTGAGGCTCTTCATTTCTTTAGTTGATGCTCCATCTCTTCAGACATGTCCTTTTCTAATAGATTTTCTCAGCAATATCTCCAAAGTATATGAGACAAATCTTCACCCTCCTTGCCTCCAAGGAGCACTCTTTGGCTGCACTTTTCTCCAAGACATAGCCTTCATTCATCTAAGAAAACTTTTAACCTGAGGGGTAGCCAGTGGAAAAAATTCTAGCTAAAAAAAAAGTGACACCTTTTATTTTAAAAAGCCCAAACATAACAACTAAACTGTTCTTGTATAAAGCAATACTACATTAATGAATTTATTTCTTTAATTATTCATTACACATTTTTTCCTGAATAGACATCAGTTACTGTACTTTATATAGACAATGGAAATAGAATGAAGACCCAATGACCAACCTTCTTCCTGACCAGAAGTTTATATTCTATCAGAAAAGACAGAGCTGTACACTGTTGTATTCAGAAATCTGAGAAGTGCTGTAAGAAAAAACATGCATAATCCATTTGGGTGAACATTGAGATAGCTAGCACCTAGCCTTGGTCAGAGAGTCTATACAGGAAGTATTATCAAATTTGACCTTGAAAGATTAGTAGAAGTTTAAGACCAAAATGAGAAAAGATTGGGGGGTGGGGCAGAAATTAACAGTTAAGAATTCAAGTTCAAATGAGGCAGTAGACTTTAAGGAGGTTTTTTTTTTTCTTTTTTCAAATTTTTTTTTTTTAATATATCAAAAGGCCTGCTTTAGTGACATGCTACTCCCACCAGAAAATAACCCAATACCCCCTTGTCGGTAACATGCTTAAGTTGACCAGCCAACTCCTATCTCTAAACTCTTGTGTATGTGAGTGTGTGTAAAAGTACATGTATCTTATCAACGTGATGACCCAAAGCCTCCTGCTTCCACACACTGGCAGACTGGTGTCTGCTCCCTTCAGAAGGGTGGGCAGAAACCTGCATGTGGTAGTGGAATATAATAGCCCACTTCTCAAGCAGTGCTTCACCTTTCTCAAAAGGAAAGGCTGACTTCTAACCAGACTACTCAAATCAATTCTCTCCTGGTGACTCCTTTTCTTTTTAGGAAAACACACATATTTACATATATATATTGTTATGCCCCAAATCCAGTTCCCCCCAAGTCACCAAGGAGCCGACACCGATGCAAGGGCAAGAGGGAATTTATTTCAGATTCGAATCCGGGCCGCGATCCAAACCGTG